GCTGGGGCATTCTGGGAGTTGAAGTCCACACGTCTTAAAGTTGCCAAGGTTGAGGAACCCTGGGATATGATATCATTCTTCAAATGCCTGAAAGGACATTACATAGAAGAGAGGTCAAATACTATTTTCCCTCAGTGCAGGACATAGAAGAATGGATTTAAGTTAGATATAGGAAGGCAGATTCCATTAAATGTTAGGGGGGAAAACATCTTAACATTAAAAGCAGGTCATTCATGTGATAGGGTCCCCTTATTGGATGTGTTTAAGCATAGATTGGATACCCATCTGTCTCAGAAGCTTTCATTTCTTGCACCGATCAGAAGGTTGGAATCAAACACCTCAGTGACCTCCTCCAAATCTAGACCAGTATTTCTCCACCTTGGCAAATTTAAGATGTTTGAGTGCTGGCTGGGGAATTCTGGGAGGTGAGGTCCACACCTTGTAAAGTTGCCAAGGTTGAGAAACACTACTCCAGAATTCAAAGATTCTGTTCAATGCTCCTTTTTACATCTTGCATCTAATTCCATGTATGATTATGCTCTTCCTGGAAGACTTGTTCTCCTATAACTCTCTTAGCTCCTTTGTCCTGCACAAACCATTGTTAGATGTTGAAATTAATGAGCGATTAATATTTAGGTGCACCTATGATGTAATTATTTTTAGGACTATGGTCACCCTAATTTCATACTATTGTACCTAATAACAAATAATGATGATTGTGATCATAATAAACTTTTGTAGATTTGCATTTCTTTGCTAAGTCCAGCTGGGCAGGGCCACAGCTGTAGTCAGCAAGGCCATAAATTGAGGTGAAAGTAAGAATAATGAAACTCTGAAATTCATGGAGAGATAAAACAGGTGCCCCAAGTTAGAGAAAAGTCATGGAAAAGCCTATTTTATTTATTATGAGTTTGATTTATAGTGAACTTTTCCTCTATGAACACAAGGTGGCATACATAATATTTCCTCCTCAGCTTTGATTCTCATAAAAATCCTGTGAGATAGGCTGGGCTGAGAGATATGATTGGCCCTAAATCACCCAATAGGTTTCCATGGGTAGATTTGAACCTGGGCCTCTCTGGTCCTAATGTACACACTGAGAACTCCAAGAACCAGACAACTGTAAAACTGCAAGAGACTCCTTAAACCACTTAAAATTTCTTTTAGGATGCCTCATTAATGGAATGTTATGTGTGGGGTGCAGAGGATGTGATCTGCCATTTGTAATCTTCCCCTGCTTCCCACCACTTTTCTATCATTTTTCTTACCACAAAAATCTGTTGAAGACAACCACAACGTTGTTCCAGTCCAGCAGGCCTCATGCTCTGATTTGGTAAATTAAGGCTTTGTTCTTTTTCTCGTCTGATAGCAATCCTAGGTAGCATCTTTCAAGCTTGTGCTTTGACCATCTCTCTCCCCAGGGACCATCAGCGTTCTGATCTCCTTCCCCTTTATCTTCAGCCCATGCATTGGCTGCTCGGAGAACACACCTGAGTGGGCTGCGCTCATCTACTTCATCCCATTTATTATCATCTTCCAGTTTGGCTGGGCAGCCACCCAAATCTCTCACCTCTCGCTTATACCAGAGTTGGTCACCAGCGACCATGAAAAGGTGGAGCTCACAGCTTTCAGGTAAGATCAGACAGGAGAGTCGTTAAATCTAGTCCAAGCTCCATCACATTTCCTCTGGATCATCCTCTCAGGCATTGACACCCAGTTGATCAAGATGGCTGGCTTGTTGTGGCCCTTCCAGCTGACATCCACCCCCAGAAATTCCCTGTCAACAAATGAACACAATGCAAAATTTCCAAGGGCAATGTGGACTGGTGAAAACACAACTACAGAATCTTTGGTCCTGTAGCAGTTCTCAGATTGGTTGTAAGAAATGCTTTCAGGGACCAGAACTGCAATGGATGACCTTCAAGATTCCAGGATCTTCTTGGGAGGTCAGCCATCGTTGCCCATCATAACTCAAACACTGTGATTATCTGTTGGGGTGAATTGAAATTAACACCGGAGTTATCTAAAGTAGGGATTAGTAAGTTATCTAATTTTATTTTAGAGTGGCTGGGGAAGAGGGTTTTGGTCAGCATTGGCAAATAAATAAAAGTGGGGAATTGCACCTTCCCACTACTTTGACTTTGTGTCTGGGCTACATCTCCCATCATTTCCACCCAGTGTGCTTTTGTTTCAGGGGATGATGAGAGAGCCAGTGTAATCTAGCAGCTGGGCATTGGAGTTGTCCTTGCTTGGATGCAGACTTCAGTGTTAGACTCTGGGCTGATTCATCTCTCTTTCCAGCCTATCTTAGAAGGGGGTTGTTACAGACATAAAATGGAGGGGCAGCCCTCAGAAACACCATCTTGAGCTCCGTGCAAACAGGCAAAATAGATGAATAATGGAGGATGTCAGTGACACCACATTGAGAAATTTGTCCCATAAGTACCTGTCTTGGTGGACACACAGAGAGAGGCAATTATAAATCTAATTCCAGCTGCAAGTGGTGGTTCCATACTTCTGAGAGTTGAAGAGCACTGAGGTGAGGCAGCCCTGTCTTATGTCATCTAGTCAGAAAGTCTTTAATGCCTTGTGCTGGCCTGAAATAGGTCCATGAAATACAGGTAGTCCTTGACTTACGACCACAATAGGGACTGAAAAATTCATCGTTAAGCAGTGTGGTCGTTAAGCAAGGCATCACGTGATCGCATCCAATTTTATGACATTTTTGCAGTGGTTGTTAAGCAAATCACATGGTAAGTGAATCACACAGTTCCCCATTGAGTTTGCTTGTTGGAAGCCATCTGGGAAGGTCACAAATGGTGATCATGTGACTGTGGGATACTGCAACCATCATAAATACATGCCAGTTGCCAAGTGCCCAAATTTTGATCATGTGACTGCGAGGATGCTGCAATGGTTGTAAGTGCAAGGACTGGTCGTAAGTCACATTTTTCAGCATCATTGTAACTTTGAACAGTCGTTAAACGAATGGTCATAAATCAAGGACTGCCTGTAAATCTTTCTGTCATGTAAGAGCAGATTTTATTGCCATCATAGCCCCATCTTGTGAAGACAGGTCTGATGGGTGAGAAGTTCAGTTTTCACTTCCCAGGCTGATGCACAAAATGGAATGCAGTCCTGTGTCCAAAATCACTTCCTTCTGAATGGCCCAGTGAATATGCACTGCACATAGAAGCTGATGTGAAGTGTCCTAAAGATGGAGTGAATCAAGCTGGCTGGGAAAAGTTAGGAACCAAACAAATGACCATCGGACATTTTTGCAAGCAAAGTTACCCAGCTGGCAGTTTCTTTCTTAGAAACTTGGAGGATTTTCCCCAGGGCTTCTGTGCCCAGAGGATGGGGTGGGAGAAGAGAGAAAAGAACCTGAATTTCCTTTGTGGGGTGGGGGCTGGGACCTGATGGGCACTGATATGAACCAATCCTCTTTTTCCAGCTGTAGCCAGCACTTAGTCAACTGCCTGGTTTCCTCTCCTGTTTTCAGGTATGCCTTCACTGTCATGGCCAACATCACGGTGTATGGAGTAGCCTGGTTCCTCCTGCACTTCCAGATTGACCACGCAGAGACAAAGAAATTCACCCAGCATCTCGGGCGCCATGACATTCCTGTCTTTCGGGTGGGTGTTTGGCAAGATGGGAGGAAGGCAAGGTGGTGGAGAGGAGGTGTCAGACTGTGCTTCTGTTTCCTTGTCATGTCAATTGATTTCTGGTTTACCACTTGAATCTTTGAAAATCACGGCCATGTTCTTTCCTCCCGTCCTCTTCCAAGAAGACCTGCTTCCTAGATTTAGTTTTGCGGTTGTAACTTTTCTTTTTTATTTCCCCTTCTGCTCCCCACTCTAGAACCTATCCCTGATTGTGATAGGCCTGGGTTCCATTACTTCGCTCCTCTTCCATCTTGGGACCAAAGAAAATGCACAGACACTTCCGAGGTTGCCTGATCCTGAGGAGCACACTCCCCTATTGTCTCCAGACCAAAAACAGCCCCAGCCCTTCCTTCTTTGGAAAGACTGGTTTCTGGAGCCTGCTTTCTACCAGGTGAGTCTGGAGGGCAGAAGATCACGTCTTCTGTAGCCATGATAATTCCTTCCTTTTCCAAGATCAGGGAATATGGCGGGGGTTTGTCCTGCAGGTTTCTGAAAAGTCCAAAGCAGTCTTCCCTAGTGGTGCCCTTCAGCAACATTTGATGAGTTCACTATACACTCCTTCATCTCTGGCTGGAGTAGCTTGTTGGCCATGCTGATGAGGGATGATGGCCAGCACCATATTGGAGAAGATGGGCTTAGTGTTTTTGACAAGATGTAAATATGTGCCAAGCTCAAAGATTAAGAAAACGTTCTGTCCCCCTTTGAGATGCCTGAAGCTCACTCTTGTGGTGTTGTCTGGGATGAGTTTGAGTCGGTAACTCTCGAGGAAGTGGACAGGGTTTTCAGTGCTGTTAGTTTGGCCATCTGTTTGTTGGACCTGGTCCCTCCTGGTTAGTTAATACATCCAGGGCGGTGACTTGTAGTTGGGTCCATGCTGCAATAGTGGTCTCTTTGAAGAAGGGGGTGTCCCTTCTTCAAGAAGCCGACCCCGAACCCAGCAGTCTTAGACAACTATCAATCCTTCTCCAACCTTCCCTTTTTAGGAAAGGTTGTTGAGAAAGTGGTCAGACTGCAGTTGCAGAGGACCCTAGACCCATTTCAATCAGGGGTTCAGTTTTTGTAGATAACCTGTGGCAGAGCCAGGATGGATGGGGTGCATGCCATCTTGTGTTTCTTGATCTCTCAGTGGCTTTTGATACCATCAACCACAGTATCCTTCTGGATCTGCTCCAGGGGTTGGGAGTTTTATGGTGTTTCTCCTCCTTCTTTTAGGTCCGGTTCCATTTGGTGTTGGCTGGGGAGGGAGAGGTTGCTCCCTAGGCCCCTCCTTTGTGGGGGGCTACAGGGCTTGTCACTCTCTCCCCACTTGTTCAACATCTACATGAAACCACTGGGTGCGATCATCTGCAAATTTGGGGTTTGGTATCATCAATATGCTGATGATACCCAATTATAAATTTCAACCCTGGGCTGCCAAGTGAGGCTGTGGAGATTCTATCCCAGTGCTTGGAGGCTGTGTGGGTTTGGATAGTGAGGAACGCCTCTGACTCAGTCCTATCAAAACTGAGAGTCTGAGGGTATTAGGGCCACCAGGATCTGGGAATATGCATCTTTAACCTTGGTTGGGGTTGCACTTCCCCATTCAAGAGTAGAGAGTAATCTGGGGCTCTTCCTGGACTCACAGCTCCTGCTCAATGACCAGGTGGCAGTTGTAGCCAAGAAGGTCTTTGCACAACTCCATCTGGGATGCCAATTGCACCCTTTCCTGGATCCCGGGAGGCTCTTCAGACTGTCACTCATGCCCTAGTCACCTCATGGCTTGACTGTTGGAATGCTTTGTAGAGCTGCTTGGAAGCTTCAACTAGTCAAGAATGCAGTGGGGCAGGCAGTGTGGGCATGCCTTGGTATGCCAAGTGACACCTCTGCTGGGTGAGCTGCACTGGTTATTGGTATGCTTCCAGGTGCAATTCAAGGTGCTGGTTGTGGCCTATCAAGCCTTATGTGGCATTGGGCCTGGTGACTTAAGGGATCACCTATCTCCCATGGTGTCTGTTGAACGGTATGAGCCAACAGGGTTGGCATTCTCTGGGTCCCTTCAATTAAACAGTGTCATCTATCAAGACTCAGGAAGCGTGCCTTCTCTGTTGCAGGGCATGCCCTCTGGAGTGATGGGCCCCCTGATCCCTGTGTGGCTCCCACCCTGATAGCATTGCAGAAAGCCCTGAAGACTTCAAAGTTCTCCCAGGCTTTAGGTTAGGGTGGTTGGAGCCCCTGCTATGCTGGCTGGGGAATTCTGGGAGCTGAAGTCTATATATCTTAAAGTTGCCAAGGTTGAGAAACACTGCTGTCGACCATAAGCTGGGTATGAATCACAGAGTTCTCCATGAAGAACTGGTTACTTACCTGTATCTTATGTTATCTGCATGGTCATCTATGAATTCAAACAGTCCTACCTCCTTTTCCACTTGCAGCTGGGTGACCTCAGTGTTAACCTTGGAATCTGCAACGTTGGTCTTAGAGGCTAAGGGGATTCTTCAGGGTCCACAGTTAGTCATTACATACTATCCACAGTGTAGGGCTTCCTCCAGGAAATCCCATAAGTTCAAGAAGATGGCAAACAGGCCATGCACCGGTACATGACCCATATGTGTAAGTTCACAGATGAGTGCTCCAAAGTAACTGATTCTGTTGTGAGGTTGACCGTGTTGAGGCACAATATTCCAAACTAGATGCGATAGCATCTGAACGCCGCCTTAGACTGTGCATCTGTAATACCGTTTTCTGCCTCCAGGTGGCGATGCTCTACATGTGCACCCGTCTCATTGTCAACCTATCTCAGACATACATTGCAATGTATCTCACAAACTCACTGCTGCTCCCAAAGGTGAGTATGATCTTTGGGAAGGGGGAGGCTTGTTTTATGTTGTGGTCAAGTGAGTAAGTTCTAGATCAACTTCTGAAATCTGCTGTCCTCCAGAGATGTTGACTATACTGGCTGAAAATCCGTGAGTTGTAGTCCCAGGAACCTGGAGGGCACCAGGTTGGGAAAGTGAAGTGGACAATAGTCTTCAGGGGCTTCTTGAGATAATAGCTTGGGTCTCCCAGCATTCGCACAGCCTTTAGCCCCAATTTAAACCTCATCCTTGGTTTCAGAAGCTGTGATTGACAAAACAGTGAATAATGCAAACCAACGAATTTCAGACATTAGAACTGCTAATCTTTGGTATTAGAGTTATGCTAATTAAGAAGTTACACAAGGTCCTATTTTTTTTTCAGGCCTGGACATCATTATTCAGTGTCATCCAGTGGTTTGGGAGCCCCCTCCCCAAATTGTACCCAACCTTGTGAGATTTTACCAGCCTCACTTTGAGATTATGAACATTTCCATATGAAAACTCCAAAGCTTTACAACATCTTATGCAAGATTTCAGCATTCTTATACAATTTTAGCCATGTGTAGTTAAATTTTAATTTAATTTGCAGAGACTCTTAGTACTGTTTAGAGCAGTGTTTCTTAACCTTGGTAGCTTGAAGATGTGTGGACTTCAACTCCCAGAATTCTGGGAGCTGAAGCCCACACATCTTCAAGCGGCCAAGGTTGAGAAACACTGGCTTAGAGGGCCAATGGATGGCTGTAGGTTTACACAGATTTCTATTTTAACCCTGCTGTCTTTTTTTCAGCTGCTCTGGAGGGTTGTCCTAGCTCACAGGGTTGATGTAACCGGCCAAAAAAAGGTCCTCAAAAGCTTTGGGGCCGAGAAGAAATTTGAACCCGTGGTCTCCCAGTTCTATCTGAGCATTGCAGCTAGTTAGCTTTCAGGCCCCCACCTCGGTAAAACCCTTTGCTGTTAGGGTAGGATTGAGTCAACAGTAGACTGCCTGTGTATCCTTGCCCTCTCCCCAAGAGAAAGTCCCTAAATAATGTTACTTCCTTTTCTGTTACCTTTTCACAGAAGTACATTGCCACAATCCCCCTGGTGATGTATATTAGTGGCTTTCTCTCCTCCTTTTTGATGAAAACTGTGAACAAACGGATTGGCAGAAATGTGAGTAACCCAAGCCTTCTTGTTTCAGTCCTAAAGGAAAATTCGGATTTCCTGCCAGGTGCCCTTCTAGCTCCCACCTCACTGAGTCCCAGAGAGGTCTCTTCTGTACTCAGACAGCTCTTACTGTGCAGAAATTACATTATCCAAGTTGAAGTTTATGGAACTTAATTAATGAATTAATTAATATTTCAAATTTGTCACGCCCCTCTCACTGCAGAATGAGTGAAAGGGCACCTTCTGTTGCATTGCTGAGACTGTCGAACTGTCCACACCAGAAAGTCCAGCTGATCTCTTCCATGTAGATGTTTAGATACCAGCTGAAAGCTGATCTCAATAATCAGCCCCCTTTTTCCAATGCTGTTGACTTTATGCAGCAGCCCAGTGCCCCAGTCCTACAAATAGGATGGTAAAACCATGTTTCCCAAAATATCACGAGATGTCAATCTCCCCTTGACTTTTCTTACAAGAACCTGATGCTTTTCTGAAGCTTGAGCATTTTTAAAAGGGTTATCTTTCGTGCTTGGGCACCGCGATACCAATTTTAGTTGCAACAGATGCCTCGGCAACCATAAATGCTGTATTGTGGGCATCTGAGCTGTATTCCTTTACAAGTGCTGCCATTCTTCTGCTGTTAAAAAAGAATGGTGGGTTATTTCTGCTTCTTTTGTTCATTCTGGCTCTTGCTTGCTCTGTGCTTTTGTCCTCTTTCAAACTGATGCTCTCCAGCATTTTGCAAGAAATAGAAGTCTTTAATCTAGTTGTCTGAAAGACAAAAGGCTTGGCTGTAGCAAATCTGGGGAGACTCTTAGATATTAGAACAGTGTTTCTCAACCTTGGCAACTTTAAGATAAGTGGACTTCAACTCCCAGAATTCCTATTTCACTTCTGAAACATTGATGCATTAATCACAACACTAATTCGATACCATACTGTAATATAATGTTTCTCAACCTTGGCAACTTTAAGATATGTGGACCAATTCCCAGAATTCCCCAGCCAGCATGGCTGGCTGGGGAATTCTGGGAGTTGAAGTCCACTTATCTTAAAGTTGCCAAGGTTGAGAAACATTATATTACAGTATGGTATCGAATTAGTGTTGTGATTAATGCATCAATGTTTCAGAAGTGAAATAGCTTCTTTTTCCATGTCTAGCTCACCTACTTCCTGGGACTGTTGATTATCTTGGCCTTTGCCTCCTGGGTGGCCCTAGCCGAGCAACTTGGCATAGAGGTTTATGGGGCCGCTGTTCTGCTTGGGGTCGGGTCGGCCACCATCCTGGTAACGTCCCTCTCCATGACGGCTGATCTCATTGGGACCCACACGGTATGTAGCACCGCATGTAAAAGATGGAGGCAATCTTGCTGTAGGAACTGGGTGAACGCTCAGTGCCGATGCTTAAAAAGGAGAGAAGGCTTTTCTTAAAGAAGAAATGTGGGGTTTCTAGCACCTAGGAATACAGGGCTACACTTGAGTGATTGATTCAGTTGGAGCTCCAAAGATAACTTCAAGGGAGAGATGCGGCCAGGGGTATCCTGGGGGTTGGGGGATTCAAGATGGCAGCCGTGGTGACATGATCAAAGGCCTGCCCCTTTTTATGCACGTGAAAAAGGGCGGGACTTGAATCACACCATCGTGGCCACCAACTTCCCTTTTTGGCCCTTCCTTGCAGACGCACCTCGGTGTGACTCATGGGCTGTATGTCATTTGCTGGCAGCATTTCTGCACGATCTCTGCCTCTGACTAAAGTTTTTCAAGGGAGCTAAACAGCAAAATGGGTGCTTCAAGCCTTGGGGTGCCCTAATATACAGCTTTATTTATTTGTAGAAATGCATAAGGCCATTCATTTATTTATTTTTACGGGAGAGGGGGGAATATGAAGGACAGAAGGCACCAGGCACTTTTTTGAAGATGCTAAATGGTCCGGTGCTATCCTGTAGACCAGTGTTTCTCAACCTCAGCCATTTTAAGACGTGTGGACTTCAACTCCCAGAATTCCCCAGGTGGACTTCAACTCCCAGAATTCCCCAGGTGGACTTCAACTCCCAGAATTCCCCAGGTGGACTTCAACTCCCAGAATTCCCCAGGTGGACTTCAACTCCCAGAATTCCCCAGGTGGACTTCAACTCCCAGAATTCCCCAGGTGGACTTCAACTCCCAGAATTCCCCAGCCAGCATGGCTGGCTGGGGAATTCTGGGAGTTGAAGTCCACACGCCTTAAAATGGCTGAGGTTGAGAAACACTACTGTAGACAAATATCTCACAAAGTGCGAAGGAGAAAGAGAGAGAGAGAAAAGAAAAAAAGAATGCAAGCCTCAGAATGGTGCTATACTGTAGAACTATTTTGAGGTTTGCCTCTTTTTTTTTTTAAATGTTTGCTTTCTGCCCAGGGTGAGACCTGGAGGCCACCCAACGTGCCCCTGATGCTTCTGTGGCTCCTTTTCTCTGATAGCACAGCGGCGCCTTCGTCTACGGAGCCATGAGCTTCACTGATAAAGTTGCCAACGGACTGTCAGTGATGATTATCCAGAACCTGCATCCTTGCCCGTAAGTGAAGGGTGGGCCATGGAGACCGCACCAATGTTGGTGGAAAGACGTTTGGTGAACCGGCCCTTTGGCACCGCAGTGGCTTGAAGGGCAGAGAAGGTGGAGGGTATTTTTTGGAAAAGATGTTTCTGCTCGCCAGGGCAGGCCAGGCGGGTGGCCGTTTTTTAAAACCCATTTGCATGGTGTGGGACTCGGCACACGTTGCCAGTTATGTGGTTTATATCTTGTTCTAAACCGAGATTTGCTTAACCATAGTTTATTTAATAAACCACCATTGGCTGGGCTGTAGTGCACATTAAGCCATCCAGCGCAGTTGCAAACCACAATGGTTAAGTTTATGCACTGAGGCAAAACTTAACAAATCAGATAGTGATATATGAACCGCGTGGGGGCATATTAGAAGTGGAAACCATGGATGATCAAACCATAATTCGGTTTTCATATTGCATTAAGACCTACTTTTGTAAGACATGCTTACAAACCACATTATACCTTGTGGAATCTCCCAGTCTTTAATATCTGCGGATTGAGGCCTTCTGGAGAGGGAACTTTCCAGAAGTAGCTGAGAGGAGTCCTCCATGTACAAAAGCAGTCTACCATAGTGTGTACAGTAACAGAGACTGAGGAATGGCATTGATATAGCAGTAGGATCAGCAAGGCTCTTGAGATGGCTCTGATGAGAAGCATAGCTCCATCCAAATTTTGGTCTGGTCCCACAAGGTTTTTAGGTTCTCCAAGGGAACTGCCAGCTTCACTTAACCAGGAGTTCTGAAGAGAGAGCGTCCATGTATAGGAGCAGTCTACACAAAAGACACAGCCTAACTTATATCTTCACTCCGTGTTGCATTTTTTTCTCTCTTCTCGTCTCCATCCCCCACCCTTCAAAAAATCCAGAACGAAGCTCTGTTGCAATGGCTGTGTGACCTTCTACCATTGGGTAATGGTCTCAGTTACTGGGGGCATGGCGGTGGTGGCCGCCCTGTTCCTATCCTGCATCATGATCTGGCCGATCACCATCCGTTTCCGTGAGTAAAATTTGCTGTGATGGAAAAATGAGGGAGTCGGGTGGGGAGATAGAGGAGATGAAAGCAGAGAAGTGCAGATGTAACTACCCTCCGGTGGTGACTTTCACCTTTCTGGAAAGGTTTGAACGGTGGGGAGGTGATGAGGAGAAGCCACGTGGGTGTGGGATGTGGGTTCTCCTCCCCTTCTGTTTACTGTTTTTATTCTTTCCAACCCAACTGGAAGGAAATTGTGTCAGGATGGTTGAGACCCTGTTCATCAAGGTGATAACTCCCCCAAACCTGAGCAGAATGGGACCAAATTTGGTGTGGGGGGGAGAAGTTGGCAAAAGAAAGATTGAGTTTGAAAATGGGCCAGATCCAGCCAGGGGCTACAGAAGAAGAAAAATATCCCCCAGTTCCCCCAGGGCAGTGTTTCTCAACCTGGGCAACTTTAAGAGGTGTGGACTTCAACTCCCAGAATTCCCCAGCCAGCAAAGCTGGGGAATTCTGGGAGTTGAAGTCCACACCTCTTAAAGTTGCCCAGGTTGAGAAACACTTCTCCCAGGACATGGCTAGAGATGCTGTTGGGCAGTGGCTTGTAACATTGGCAACTGCTCCATTTAACGTCCTTTGTCCTCCCAGTTGCATGATCCCTCCTGCTTCCCATTGCGTATTCAGATGTGCACGCGCGCACACACATGGAAAATTCAGAAGCCTCTTACACTTCCTGCTTGTAAAGAGTTTGGAAAGAATTCCAGAAGCCAGGCTGTGCAGTTTTAAACTGCAGACACCCCTTGAAGCCAAGGATACCATGGGAAGAGTTTACTTTAAAAAAAAAAAAAAATGTGGAGATGTTCTGACCCACAAATTGCATTTCTCCTGCAGATGATGTTTCGATTTCGGGACTAGCAGGGGTGAATCCAAGAGACCGCCAGCATCTTGAGGAAGGCGAACAATCGGCTGTGGTGAACTGAGATGTCCGGTCCCGAAATGAAGGAGCGAGCAAGAATGGGATGGAGTTGGGGCCATGTGGCAGCACGGAAATGCAAAGAGCTTTTTCATCTAGCTTGAAGTTGCCCCTTTTTGCTCTTCAGACCGAACATGGACCATCCCAGCATATTTTGCACAAGTCTTCCTTGACACTTACGGGAAAATCCTTTCCCTTGACCACCTCATTCCCCCAGCCTTTCTTTTGCACAGCTAGTGAAGGACTAGCAATGAAGCAATATATTCCACCATCTAATCTCTTTACCTTCACTCTGCCATTCCCCTTTTCTACCTACTTGTATGTAAAAAGTATAAATAAATAGTTGTGGGGTTTTTTTATTTAAGAAATAATTAAACTGTCTTAAGTAAAAAAGACATCTGATTATCTTTTTCCTTGTTTGCTAAAAATCCTTTTCTTGGATCGTTGCTCTTTAAAACGTGGGGGAGAAGGGGACCGATGCTGATTTGGAGGTAGATCACTCTCAGACAGGCCAGTCTGTCAGGATAGTGTGGTACAATCCCTCCCTCCCCCCAGAATTCCTTATCTTGATTATCTTGACCATCTTCACCCACAACGAACCAGGCATTGTAGTTATTTGTCAGGGTTGAATAGCAGACACGTTCATTGCTCATTTCCTACTCTCCTCTTGTCACAGTGTCCAGATTTGGGACTGATTTGTTGCCCTCCAGCCAGCTATTATGCTAAACTTCTTAAGGAAAGATTTCATGATGGTAGGAGTCGGACAGCCACTTCTGAAGGGTACTTGAATTAGTTTTCCTGCAAATTGCAGAGGCCTGATCAAGATGATCTTGAGGTCCCTTCCAGTGCTATAATTCCTTTACTGAGAAGTTGGCTTGCTGATCTTCAATAGACTGTATGCACAAGCCAAGATTCCTTGGCTATGTATGATGGGAAAATAATATGATTAATCTTAATAAGATTTCAAATGATATCTGGAGCTCAAAGTGCCTTTGTGTACGGCTTGTTTCCCCAGTCAAAGTTTTCCTGCCGGGGAACAGATTGAAAGCACGTTTGCAAAGTATCAAATTGAGGAAGGCTTGCTCAAGGTGGAGTCCCTTTATTCCTTTCTATTGCCTCTCATTCTGAATAATGAGATTTCTCAACTCTGTTGGCTTTACAGCCACTTCCTGTCCCATCCATTGCTTCTGACAGCAGCTGATTAACTTACCTGTGGGTGTGGCGCTTTTTTCCAAGAAGTCAGGAGACACAACTCGAACTGTGGGTGAATCCCAGCGTGCCTCCACGAGATTGCATTTCCTCTTCAGAACAGCCAAGGAAATGACGCTTGACAGGAAGGAAATGGTTTGGGGTGCTGGTTAGATTCCTCTGTGCAATTAACAATTGTGCATAAAGGAGAACAAATGTTAATGTGTAATGAAGGGGAGAGCCAGTTTGGGGTAGTGGCTAAGGTGCTGGCCTTGGAGCCAGGAGATTGTGAGTTCTTGTCCTCTCTTAGGCCTGGAAGCCGGCTGGGGGATTTTCGCCCAGTTGCTCCCCCTCAGCCCAGCCCACCTCACAGGGTCGTTATGGGGAAAATAGGAGGAGAGAGCATTATGCACACTGCTGCCTTGAGTTGCATCAG